ATTGTCCTTCGTCAGGTCGACATACATATTCTTGATATTTGAATAGATGTGGTGGATAATTAGCTGTCAGAAGCTGATCGATCTTAACAATTCCATCCGATTGATCAAAACATTGTGGTTCCACAAATATCATTTCCAAAAAGATTTTTGGGATACATAATCCATTATGACATCGATACTCATTCTCATCACATTCATTAATTTCTAATTTAAAACATCCAATTTCATCAATACCACCATTTAAACAATTGATTCGACCATTGCATATCTCTCGCCAGTCGAGACAAATCGATGAACCACCACGATCACATTCTAAAAGAATGTAACACGTTTGTTGAAACATTATATCTGTCAAAGTCATTTCAAATGAATTCCAAACTAATTCATCTTCATTTATTTCTGATGAATATTGGCATCGAGATCCAAACCATGGAGGTGTACAATTAAAAAACGTTTCATTCGATAGATTAGATTGAAATGGTCGATCAAGATAATATTGATATTGTTCAGCAACATCAATCGATGACGACCATCGAAGAATATCATATGAAGTAACATTCCGATGATATAATTCATTGAAAGTAAAATATTCATCAGATATATTAAAAAAATGAATTATCGTCGTCAAATTCATCTCGTTATTTGGACGAATACAATATTTGACCATTCCAGAAAAGGATGACGTAGATGAAAAGTTATATAAACAATCAAATTCAAACGGATCTGTATAATAGAGAAGCGATTGAAAACCATTAGAAATCCGTAGAAAAAAAAACATAATATACAATAATCTCAACATTACTCAAATGTAGCTTTGCACACAAATGACAATATAATGTATAGATAGATTTAACACAACTTTTACAGGAAATATATATCATTATTTGGTTATATCAATAGTGTTCACTGTTATACGTGTCATTGTTTTTCTCAATGAGACATGATCTGATACTCGTTTCATTTTTCTACCTAGATATGACACATTCATTCAGGATAAAAATGTAGACATTGTCAGGTATCTTCTTTTATTTGATAGTAAATGAATACCATGTATGAAGTATCTTGATTGGCAAAAAAAATTTCAAAAGCAAATATCAAGAATGCCATGATTGTAGATACTAACATTAACATTGCGGAACGTTGCCATTGCTCGCACAGTTGGTATCGGTTACATAGCCATGATGTCCATTGGGTAATTCGATCTTATACCATTTTCTCTTTTTACCCGAAACTATCTCGATTTCAAAGCAATCACATCGATAGTGCTCGCTGGTGATAGCATCGCTAATTACAGTGCAGCTCATTGATTCACACGTATGAATACAAACTCTTCGAAGACATAGAACAATACCAACGTAATTATATAAAAAAAATATTGTAAATATTAAATTATTCTATGGAAAATAAAAATTTACCTCGCATACTGCCAGAGCGATACCAATGACGATGAAAAGACGAATAATAGTCAAATGCATTTTTGTTTTGAATTAAATAATTTCAGCAATCAAGACAACCCTTTATATACATAGATGAATACAAAAATCATATAATTTATTGCACAGCTTTTGATAAGTGCAAATGATGAGTAACTGATTATGATATCGAAGTCATTTTATTAAAAAAGAATGAAGTATTTGATTTGCATATTGCATTTATTGTTTTTCGATGGAGATAAAATTCTACTTTCTGAATCCTTTTTTTTCTTTCTTTCCCTTTTTTCTTTTCTTTTTTTCTTTTCTTTTCTTTCTTTTCTTTTCTCTTTGAATACAATATTTGACTATTTCAGAAAATTCTGACTCAGATGAAAAATAATATAAACAATCAGATCCAAATCAGGGTTGCCAAATTCAAATTTTAGAAATCAACATTTCTTTGTAAAAAAATAGGCGTTGATCAGGAGAAAAATTAGGAACATTTCTCTCGAAACCAGAAGGAGCATACGGGTGTCATGTAATTTATTCGAAAAAATGCAAAGCTTTCCATCCTCAAATATTTATAATTTTGATTTTTAATAAACGAGCAATGAAAAAGTCTATCTTAGTGAACGAAACAAAGAAAAATAGAAAGATAATTATACATAGTTCATTTGACTGGTCTTTTCAAAGTTGTTTTTTAAAAAATATAATGAAAACAGATACACATGGGTTTTAAGAAACCATCAAAGAATTGAAACAGAACAGAGTAAACCGTTTTCTAAATTTGTTTTGATATTGTTGCTTCACGATTGTGTTTTTCTTCTGCGTAAATTGGTTTTAACAGTTCTTTACTGTTTCAGAGATTTTTTAATTTTAATTTTGAACTTGACATTTATTAGGATTATTTTTCATTTTATTCCTATTATTATATCGTCAAAAATCTATGTGACTGAAATTTAACTCATAATTAGTTCTTTAAACTCATGATTTATCAACCTATATTAGCATTGGTATCAGATGGTTGTAAAAAAAAACAATCGGCCCATAGAGACGGGAATTGTACCAGTTGGAATTTTTTAAAAGCCTTCTTTGTCGATCTTGTTTCTGACCATAAAAAACTAAGATATCACATAAATTTCTAGTAGAGCTGGTGAAAAACGAGACAAAACACGTACAGGGTATTTAATGATTTTTGTTGGATGTCTCTTACATGCTCTCTGAAACTTCACTCTCGCACAAAAGTATTTCCTCTCTTCGTTTCTTTGCTATCATACTTTGTATAAAATTTATTGCCGAGTAGAGATATGACTTTATAGTTCTATTGTATTATGATCTATATACCATACTGAAATAAAACTCTCGAGTCATATCTTTACTCGTTAATAAATTCTATACAGATTATGATAGCGCAGAAATGAAGAGAGAGGAAAGACTTTTGTCCATGGGTGTAACCCATATTTGGGTCTATTCTTCTATAAAAATTATTTTTCAAAAGAATTTGAGATTTTTTCACTGGTTCTTTTGTCTGTTTCACTGGAATCTTTTCGGTATAATATGTGATTTCAATCGATCAGAGTGTGGGTGTGAGTGGGGTTTGTGTTGATGTAAGTGTTAGTTGCAAAAAATATAATACTTACAGTCACACCCGCCCACATTCAAACCCACAGTCTTGTTCACACCCATACATACACCAATACCCACACCCTTGACTGATCTTTTATAAGAGATCAGACTTATTTTCTTTTATTTATCCTTAACTTTCCTGTGCTCATCGTTCCGATTCCCGTACTGAATATACGTTATAAGCTGCATATGTGAAAGTCTTTATAAGTGACACTCTTAGATATATATCGAAGCCAACAAAATAATTTTTGCCTTGAATTATTAGATGCAGACGGAGTTCTAAAAAGTGTTTGAATAGATGAAAGATTAATACAGCAAACATGTCATCCTCACGATGGTATATTTATTTTATATTTTTATTTTTTAAGTTCGAAACACATTTATTGGAAGAAACAAAGATTTTAATGAAACTTTGAATTTCATCAGTGTCAATCATATACGGATAGTATAAAAAAATAAAATATCTCATTCAATGCACGCTTTAAGTACGAAAAAGTTTAAATTTGTTAGCTTGATAATATGAGTAATCAACTAAACCAAATACGATCAACTTTCGTAACTTATAGTGCACGATCTTTCGCTATCAGACAAATTATTGTACAAAAAAATATATTAATAAAACATTAAAAAAATGATTTACTGTTGCGACAATTCAGAAAAGATAACTGAACTGCAAGTAAATAGATGGAGGTGACAGTGTGATATTCTGTTTTACCTTCACTCTCAAGATGGTCGACGCTTGGATGTGGATGAAAGTCTATTAAATTCTCTCAACATCGACCTGGTTTCTACCCTCACCTTCACCCTCAAGACATATTTTGTGATAGTATATGCAACCCTAATGTTGGAAACACATATAGATGGTACATTTCGATTCAGTGTGTGTCATAGTTTATCTGTAGCTACATTGGAAATTTCCAACTAATAAAATAAACTACCTTTTTTATGTAAAATATGAATAAGAAGAAATAAAACATGATCATCATTTGAGTAATTCAAGAAAGGTAAATATATAGTTAAAGGGAAGGAGAAAGTGATTGTTGAATTAATGTTTCTCCCTTTCATTCTACTATCTGCTTCAACAGTAATCGAGCAAATAAAGAGGGTCTGGGTGTGGGTATGGGTGTGAATAGAAAAAGTAGACACTCACACGCACACTCACATCCTATTTTTCTCTGACGTCTACATAGATATGTTGTCTTTGAATCATTTTATGATTAATTCAACTATTGAGATAAATCAAAAATGAAAGAATAATTAATCTGAAGATATATTTAGCATTTATTATTTCATTGAAATGAATATAAATAGAGTATACAAGATTAAAAATGAAAAAAATAGTTCCCGTTAATTATATCATTGAAATAATTTCAAAATAAAAGATCGATCGTGGATAATAAATCTGTACTATAAATGTAAGAGACGTTAGATACATTGAAAGTGGGTGTGAGTATAATATTATTCCACACCTATTCACCCATTTCCACACTCACACCCTCAAGGTTGAGAATATGATAATTACATGTCTTGTCATGTTATTTTTCAGTATCCGTGGTAGGACAATTCATTGAAGTAGTAAGATCCAATTATAATTTATCATTAAAGAATAGACCTATTAAATTAAGTTTGTTACACATAATTAGTCAATGAGTATCAGAATTGTAGAGGATATTTGTGATGATTAAACTTCCATTTCTTGATTCTGACTTGACAAAAAAGTTGGATCCATTTTCTACTTTATGATTAGTATCAACGAAATAAAAAATACCTTAGACGTGAGATGTCATGAAAAGGAATCCAAACACCGTATAAATCATGGATTAATTCGAATAGTTTACTTTAAATATGTAAAATGGAAGCTTATAGTAGTAAAATAAACGGAAAAGGAGATACAGTAAAAGGACTGCTCGAAAGTGTGAGTTTAGTCATTGAATTATGTATACCAAACTTGACTTAATAGTTCTATTCTTTATCTTCTATTGTTAAATTTCATGTTCTATAAACATTGTTTTGATAGAACAAAATATAAGAAAAAAATTAGTTAAATTGCAAGTAGGGAAGAATGAGAAGAATAGACGTGAATATATGTTGAAATACAAGAATGTTTTCAACAAAAATAAAATTTATCTGTGTTTGGTTCGGTATATATGTATTTATTAGTCTGAGCTTCTGGTACAAGTGTATTGATTCACGTTTACTTTTGTTTCATTGCAAGAAGAAAAATTATGTCTGAAAATAAAGAAGATCAATTGGAAACTCCAGAAGAGTTTGAAAGTAAGCATCTAATACTGAAGTTTATAATGATTTACGGATGACTATTACAAATTATGATACGCTCCCAAGACGTTGAGAAGATTGTTTATTAGAATGATTTTTTGAGAAATCGAGTAATCTAGAAATTTATCAGATAGATTGACATAAAAACTTAGTTTATATTCTCGGTTATTTTGTGTCCAAGAATTCGAGTGGTCACAACTTCAATCATACTGTTGATCGTTATCCGAAGAAGTTATATTAGTGATAGTCTGCTAAGAACTAGTTTTTTTATGCACATCTTGATCGTTCATCACTTACTGTTCTATCTTAGAAAGTAATCCTGATTAGGAGAGAAGTCATTGGCCTTTTGAAAGAACCATTCATAGTTTATTTATATAATATCAAGATCACTAGATAATTTACAACTTTCTTCGTTCAAAAAAATATCAAAATTGTTTTTAATAAGTCCTTACATCATTTCGAAATGTGTCTTATTGTACAGTATTTTTTCTACATTTTCTATTGTTTATTTAAACAGAAAATTACGATAAATGGATTCAAGAAAACAAGTCTCGTACTGAGCAGGTGGATTTTAAAAAAATCGAAAAAGCTCTTGGGGTGAGTAGAACATGTTTTGTCTTAAAGAGAGAATAATTCATCTCCATTGTTTTGTTTCATTTTTAGAAAGAAAACAAACCAAATGCCAGAACAGAGAAAAAACCCGCAAAAGAAAGAACCAAAGAAGAAAAAAACGAAGAAGAAAAAAAAGGTGGAGAAGAAACGAATAACGCCGAAGAAGAAAACGAAACCGAATTAGAAAAAGACAAAGAAGAATACAAAGCTCAAGAAGAAAGAGCTGAAAAAGAATACGAAGCCGAAATAGAAAGAGCTGAAGAAGAAAAACAAGCAGAAGAAAAAAAAGCTGAAAAACGAAGAACCAAAGAAGAAAAAGAAGCTGAAGAAGAGAGAGACAAAGAAAAAAAAGCCGAAAAAAAACGAGCCAAAGAAGATAAAGAAGCTGAAGAAAAAAGAGCCAAAGAAGAAAAAAAGGCTGAAGAACAAGCAAAGGCAAATAGAGAATGTACAAGTTAAAACAATACATAAAATATTCACAATTTAAGATGTATGTGGTGACCATCATCACCATCAAGTAAACTTTATAATTCTCATATGCAAGTTATATAATAATAATAATAATAATTTTGGCATATTTTACCATTTAAAATATCAATACTGTGCTCCTTTATATCTATTAATAAATCTCTTGTATACTTGTCACTCTTACAAAAATTAATGTAGAAGCTCAAGAAAGAAAAAACCTGCTCATACATCATATGTTTTTTTAAATTTATAATCAAATAGTACGAACAAATAAGGAAAGAAATTTATAATAACAGCTAAGGATAATATCATCAGATACAAAGGAAAAGTATAGAAGTCATATCAGACAACAAAAAATGTGTATTAGTTTGATATCGAATAAGAGGGTGTCAATTAAGAGTGTTACTTTATTCTTTATTATAAGTATTTTCAGTATATGTAAATTAATCTTTTGTATATTCACACAAATGACAACAAAATAAACAAAAAAAAATGTTCAAAATATATGAGATGAGAAACAAAAAATGATAATCAAAAAGAAAACTCTAAATGCGAAAAAGTTTTTATTTGTTAAGGATCATCTTTTATATCCATTTCATACGGAAATATCATAGCATACAGTTCATCTATTGTCTAAAATGAAGAGAATATATATGCTTGTCCACTTTTTTGTAGTATTAAACGGGATAAGAATTGCAAGTAACTTACTTTTCCAATATGAAATTTAACTATGGTAAAATAAAAATCATCCTCCCCATAACTTTCATGCATAACTACAGAATTTCGTTCCGTCCAAAACGTTGTCATTTTACATTCTGCCTCAAAATCATATCCGGCTTCCTCATAATCTGTATCGTTATCAGCACCATTACATGTTAATTCGAATTCTAACAATCGTAAACATCGTACTGCGAGTATTGATTCCCATTTTTTTGCATCAAGTAAATGCCAGTCATTAGTTATGATCAATTTTTTCAAATTTGGAGTATGTTTTAATATATATTCGATGTGTTCGAAAGTCATATCAGCTGGTACACTCAAATCCAACTTGCTGCACTCGGGCATCAATGACATTGTAATTGGAACTATTCGCTGCGTAAAAAGCTGATCATTGCAAAAAAATTCGTCATCTATACAAAATGATTTTGTCTTTTGTAATGCAGGAAGTAATTCAATCAAATCAACAAAAGTTAAACGGTCAATGGTTAAATATTTGATATTGGTCGTTTTAGTTGTTTGTATTAATGAAGGAATGGGAAGTTCAGTATTCACACTATCGTTTCCATAATTTTTAATGATAATACAATTGAGTAAAGGACAGAAATCTTGAGTAAATATCGAACGAATTATGAATTGCTTTTCTTCGAGGTCATTATTAGAACGAAATTTACTTCCAAATATAACTCTCAATGATCGTAGATATTTTAAAGATGAAAGTTGATTCCAAAATGTAAATAAATTATCATCGAACGAATATATATATTCTAATGATAATAATCGAAGTTGAACTAATGATTGAAGAGAGGATATAGAAAAAAAATGTTTGATTCTATTATGTTTTCGTAATTTTAATGATCGAATATTGACAACGTCGATGAATGGTAAAATATTTTTTATATAATAATCATATTTCCCTTTTCTTTCTAAATTTAAATGTAATTGTACTTGATCAATAATTCCATCGATATGTTTATTCAAACCACGAAATGAATACCACAAATCATTTACATTGAAATAATCAAATATTTCTCGCCATAGTTCTACTGAAAGCAATTCAATTCCACTATGGTGTTTGTTGGATATTGTGAGCAACTTTTCCATCGTACGACTGTTAAACGAATAAATTCAAGTTAGGAGAAAAAAATTTGAGAGAGAAGAAGCGATATAAAGAAAACGATTATATATATATATGTACGATACAATGTGAAAGAACGAAAAAGATAGGATTAAAACCACGTGTACAGTCATTATTGTTTAATTTTTATCTCAGTTTCATCTATTCATTATTTTTTCTTAATAATCAACAAAGGTTTTCGATATCGTCTAATTGAACTCTTAAATGACCTGTAAAGTGACGTACATAAAAGTAATGTTCGCGACGAATATTTCGTGTAAACTATTCAATTGAAAAGATTTAAAAAATTGCCGGAGCAATTCATTAAACATGATAGTAAACAATTTATTCCGATAAATCCTCAATTTAAAGCTTTTTTCTATATTCTGAAAAAAAACTTTGCTGATAAAAGATCATCGATTATGTCGTTTATAGACAAATGGTTTAGCCATGTATTTTGAACAAAAAATAGAATATTTCTATTTCTTCGAGTTAAACAAAGTGAAATTTATTTACATGAGTTCTCAAATTATAAATCATAATTTTTCATTTAGATAAACATATATTACAATAAGAGGAGATAATTAAACACGGTATTTAGAAAATACTCATGTAGAAATCAAATTCATTTTATTCTCCATTTCATCTGATAGAGTATTAGATCTCGTTCTCTCAAAAAAAAAAAGTCAATTTTTCGGAAATGACATAAATAGCATAGTTAGATGGTTTATTTATCGGATCTCCTCTTCGAAAAATATTTGTGTGATGGTATATCTGATACTTCTTGATCCAAAACTCATACTATACTTTTATTATTTTTTTAAACTGAGCTGCCTATATAGACAGTTACTTATAAAAAAATTCAAAACTCTTTTTCAGATCATCGACTTTTCAATGAGCTCTTATGTAAGTTTAAAACAGGAGGGTGTGAATGTGGGTAATGAAAGAAAGCATCCTCACTCTCCGAACATATTTTGTATAGTCGACAGATATCATGGTGTTGAAAGTCGTGAGGAATGGCATCAATATGTTATGTCTTCAGCAGTCATTGGTGATCTATCAACAATTACAAGACGTTAATAACAACTAATTGTATTTTGCTGGTTTATTCTATCTGCTATTCATGAGCAAACTATTGATTTGATGTTGCCTAAAGAAGATGATAAATGATCGAACCACTAACGAGGGAACCTCCCCAACTGTCGGAGAGCTTTGAAGTTTGGGTCCCATCCATTAAGTAGATCCTAGTGAGG